CAGAGTAGAGGTCTTTCACCTCCTTGGTTATGTTTGGTTATTCCTAGGTATTTTATTCTTTTTTGATGCAATAGTACCTGGGGTTGTTTTCTTAATTCCCCTTTCTGCTACATTGTTATTACTGCATAAAAATGCAACAAATTTCTGTATATTAATTTTGTATCCCGTGACTTTACTGAATTCATTCATTGATTCTAGCAGATTTTTGGTGGAGTCTTCAGGATTTTCTATATATAGTATCATGTCGTCTACAAAGAGTGAAAGCTATACCTCTTCCTTACCAACTTTGACCCCTTTTATTTCTTTTTCTTGTCCAATTGCTGTGGCTAGGACTTTTCCATAAAGTGGTGATAGTGGACATCCGTGTCTCGTTCCTGGTCTTAGGGGGTAAGTTCTCTGTTATTCACCATTGAGTGTGATGTCAGCTGTAGGTTTTTCACATTTGGCCTTTATGATGGTGAGGTATGTTTCCTCTAAACCTACCTTGTTGAAAGTTTTTATCATGAGTGGATGTTGTAGTTTATCAAATGCTTTTTCAGTATCTACTTAAAGGATTATATGGTATTTCTCCCTTTTTCTTCTTGATGTGATGTATCACATTGATTGATTTGTGAATATTTGAATACACATTTCTCCAACTAAGACATACAAATGACCAACAGATATATGAAAAAAATGCTCAATGTTACTAATCATCAATGAAAGGCAAATCAAAACCACAATGAGATATCACCTCACACCTGTCAAGATGGCTGTTACCAAAAAAAAACCAAAAAAAAACAAAATCAAAATCAAAACAAAACAAAAGACAGCAAGTGTTGGCAAGGACGCAGAGCAATTTGAGTTATGCACATTGCTGGTAGGAACACAAGCTGGTGCAGCTGCCCTGAGAAACAACATGGAGGTTCCTCAAAACATTAAAGTACAACTACCAAAGAATCCAGCAATCCTACTTCTGGGTATTTATCCAAAAGAACTAGAATCAGGATCTTGAAAAGACATTAGAATTCCCATGTTCGTTGCAGCACTATGTACCACAGCCAAAATGTAGAAACAATCTAGGTGACCACTGACCGATGAATGGACAAAGAAAATGTGGCACATACATACAATGGAATACTATTCAGCCTTCAAAATAAAGGGGGAAAGTCTGAAACATGTGACAACATGGGTGACATTTGAAGGCATTATGATAAATGAAATAAGCCTGTCACAGAAAAAGACATACTGTATAATTCTACTTATATGAGGTATCTAACATAGTCAATTCACAGAATCAAAGAGGTGATGCTGGTTGCCAGGGGCTGAAAGGAGTGGAAATTGGGAGTGACTGATCAACAGGCATAAAGTTTCAGTTAAGCAACATGAGTACGCTCTCAGAGATCTGCTATGCAACACTGCACCGACAGTCAACAATAATTATTGTACACGTAATATTTATTAAGAGGTTAGATCTCATGGGGCACCTGGGTGACTCAGTCAGTTGAGCGTCCGACTTCAGCTCAGGCCATGATCTCGTGGTTCGTGAGTTCGAGCCCCACACTGGGCTCTGTGCTGACAGTTCAAAGCCTGGAGCCTGCTTCAGATTCTGTGGCTCCCTCTCTCTGCCCTTCCCCTGATAGTGCTCTCTCTCACTCTTTCTCTCAAAATAAGTAAACATTAAAAAAAAAAAGAGGTTAGATCTAATGTTAAGTGTTCTTACTGCCATAAAATAATTTTTTTTTAATGCAATTCATAGGGTCACCTGTGTGGCTCAGTCAGTTAAGCGTCTGACTTCAGCTCAGGTCATGATCTTGCGGTACATGAGTTTGAGCCCCGCATTGGGCTCTGTGCTGACAGCTTCAGATTCTGTGTCTCCCCCTCTCTCTGTCCCTCCTCTGCTCATGCTCTGTCTCTCAATAATAAATAAACATTTAAAAATTTCTTCTTTAAAAACGCAATTCATAAGTTCCAGACAACACTATCTGCTACCAACATAGCAAGTCTATTAGCCTAGTGCAGGGCACGCTCTCAGAAGTCAGACAGCAGGCTGGGACCCTCTCTTGCTCAATGTTTTGCTCTTAAGCAATGGAAATAACTAAAGGGAAATTTTCCTGAAAACTTTTCTTTAATTATTATTAAACATTTAAGTCATTTGAAAAGATATAAAGAATACCACAACTAATTCCTATGCATCTATTATCCTACAGCTTAAGAAATAAGACCTTCCCAACAGAGTCAATGCCCCTATATACCTTCCCTATTTCTAGTACCTCACCCTCAAAATGCATAATTTATCATTCCTTTTCTTTATACTTTTACTGCATATGCATGTACCCTTAAGGCAAAGTATAGGAGTTTTCTGCTTGGTCTGTTTGGGTTTTTTTTCAGCTTTGACCTTCAATGTTACCACATGAATTCTGCAACTTGCCTCTTTCTCTCAACACCGTGGTCACCCATGCTGACCCATGTAGTTCTAATCCCTTCACTTTCCACTACCACCTTATATCCATTTTCCTGTTAATGGACATTTAGGCCCTTTCCAACATGGGGTGTTCACAACACAGTTATAAATATGCTATTCTACTTTCACTTAGATAAAACCAAATATGGAACGCGTATGGAGGGACAAATTCTAAAGAAGTAAGCCTGCATGACCTGGAATGCAGGTCATCTATCTCAGCCTAGAAGTCAAACTATAACACGGGGCACTAATATCCAGGAATATTTGAGTGTACTTGTGACCCTTCTAGAATCTTCTCACCAAAGGACATCTTTGGTAGCATGGTTTTGAAACATTCCTCATAACACCTGAGTATGTACTGGTCTGTCTTCCTCCCCTTGCTTTTGTTTCTGTGGTGAGATCGTTGAATGACTGTTCTGTTTCTTGCATTTCTATAGCCTTACCTAGAGGCTGAATGGCACATATTGAATAAAAAGCAAGTGGATGGATATCTTTCAACAGGAGGAAGGAATCACCACCTGCCCCCTCGTTGTTCCCACAAGGCTGAGTCTCAGTGGGAAGAAGTCAACACCACCACCTTCCTCAAAGTTTTGATACTTACCCCAAGGCATGCAGAAGAGAATCTCTCCCCCAGCTACAAGAACCATGAAGGCAACACCCGGAAAGTCAGTGTTTACACCTAACTCTGCATGCAAAATGAGAGTGCAAGGGCATGGCTCCGTCCCAGCAAACCCTCAAGAACAGAGTCAAGTGTTCAAACCCCACATAGTGCTGAAAACATCTTTCAAACCCCACATAGTACTGAAAGCATCACAAAGTTCTGCAAATGATATAATGGAAGAAACCGACCCCTAACCAAGGGGTCTGAGTAAGGGAGGCAGGGAAACCTGAGCCTGATATGCAGACAACTGGGCAGGAAGGAGAAGCAGGACACTGGCTTTAGGAAGACACTGTGGGCAGTGGTGGGCAGGAGTTTGGGGAAGAGGTGATTGCACTCATGAACAATCCAGGTGGGAGGTGCTGAGGGCCTTAGCAAGGACCTGGGGCTCCCATGTGGACTCCATGCTTCAGAAGGACTTGAGCAGAGCGGACGTAGGAGGATGTCATGCTTGCTCCACACGGCTATATATGACAGGACGAGACCCATGGCCGGACGTCATGGGGAGGCAGAGACAAGCTCAATACAGGGAGGAGCTTTTCAACAATTCAGAGGGATAGGTAGCTTCATTAGAGAGTAAGCTTTCCATCACTGGACGTATTCAACTGGAGGCTGCAGGAGCAGGGTCAGAGGTGGTAGGGAAGGGACCCCTGAACCTCCAAAGTTCCTCTCTGAACTGGGATTTGGAGACTGGGTGGCTTGGTCAGTGGGTGGGCTGATATGGCCCGGTGGGCTTGTCGAGGGAGCATGATTGCTCAGAGAGGACCGCAGTCACTGAGTGTGGCCTCGGGCTCATGAGCACCCCCCAGAACATCAACCCAACGCGGGAGAGGAGGAGTGAGCCGGGATAGGAAGGAAGGAGGGGGAGGTTGCCAGCCTGTGCCTTTGCTCAACACATAAATATCCTGGTCAAATCTCCCCGAAAGAACGTGACCACAACTCATCAGCCCGCCTCCTCTATGTCCACGAGAGGAAAGGGGCACATTCTCATTCCCTCAAGATCACTGGACACAAGCTCCCACCCTCATTATAGAGGGATTGACAAGCACTAGAGATTCTTTCTAAAGACAAAGTAACCATGTGGGAAAATGGCAAAATGGAGGTTCAGCATTCCCAGGGAGCATCGTTAAAGATCTCACCTAATTACTTCCAGTTATGGAAAGAAAGAAGTCACTGGGATAAAAGGTACAGCATAGGGAATATAGTTGATGGTACTGTAATAGCTTTTTACAGTGACGGGTGTTAGCTACACTTGTGAGCATAGTAGAACATGTAGACGTAGTGAGTCCCTATGCTGTACACCCGAAACTAACACTGTGTGTCAACTACACTTAAATTTAAAAAGATAGTGATGGGGCACCTGGGTGGCTCAGTCAGCTGAGCTTCCCACTTCAGCCCAGGTCACAATCTCGTGGTTCATGAGTTCGAGCCCCGCGTCAGGCAGTGTGCTAACAGCTCAGAGCCTGGAGCCCGCTTCAGATTCTGTGTCTTCCTGTCTCTGTCCCTCCCCTGCTCGTGCTCTGTCTCTCTCTCTCAATAATAAATAAATGTTAAAAAAAATTTTTTTAATAGTGATAAAGAGAGAGGATTATAACTGGAAAAAAAACGCTCACCTAATTAAAATTATCATACTTCAAAAAAGAAATAATAAAATAAAATAAAATAAAATAAAATAAAATAAAATAAAATAAAATAATCCTACTTCAAACGCATATGGGAACCTTGCTGGGTGCAGCACAGCTGTGGAAAGCACAGAGGGCCCAAAACTGCCCTCGTGAGCTTGGCCAGTGCACACGTGGAGAGTGGAAGTTAGAGGCGGCCAACGAGAGTTCCCCTACCCCCCGAAGAGAACTCTCCTTGTTCTATCGAGCCATGTGCCAGCGTGAATTATAGCAGACATAGGTGTAAAAGAGAAATTTTAATTTACACTGAAAATACTTTTTAGGAGATAACATCCTGATGTTTTGTGGAAGCAGGTAGCTCATGGTGTTCTGTGTTTTCTTTCAACACAGGGAGCACCTGAGATCCTACAGACAGGAAAGCTGGGGAAGAAAAATCCAAAGATGTATGCGTCAGGTACACTCCAAAGTTCACCTGTGAACAAGACAGCGGCAACAACAAGCCAGATTATTTTAGCAGTTGAAATAATTTTATAAATAATAATGATCAACTAAAATCAAGTCAGATTTTAAACACAGGTACTAGGATGTAGTGGGAAACAAGAATCCCAATTTCAGACAAAGATTGCCATGTATAATGTTCTTTCCCGACAGTCCCCCCACACACACCTGTTTTTCTCCTTCCTATATACCCTGAGCTTCTGGTAGGAGGGCTTGCGTCCTGCTCTCTGCTTCTGACCACGACCAGGCCAATTTCTGCTCTGTTCCCTGATGTAAAAACTACTTTTGTGAAAGTAATAGCAAAATTCTGCATTTTCTTTGAGGTGATTTTGTTGTTGTTGTTGTGATGTAGGTTAAGTTCTCCAAACTCTCTAGAACAGAAATGGAAGGCCCAAAATAAAGAGCTGTGTGAGTCTACTCAGAGTTTGCCATCAATGCGAGTGAGTCAGTAAGAACTCCCTGGAGCATGTGATGCACTCCCAGATCTGTTCATTCCTGTGATAACATCAGCTGGGTGCCCCCATGTTCCACGACCCAGGCTAGGGGCTGAGGCCAAATTAATTCCTTAAGATGTGTGCACATGAGGGAGAAGGTACACAGGAACTTTCTGTACTCTCTTTGCAATTTATCCGTGAATCTAAAATTATTCCAAAATATTTTTTAAAAAATGAAAGGTGTGTGCACAAGAGAGTTACAGTGGTTCTCAGAAGTACAGAGATTTCCTTCCGTGCATCATAGTATTTGTGCACCCCCATCCCCTGTCCTCTGGCAACCTGCATGGCACAGATTCAAGGCCCTCACACCCTCAGGTGACACAGCCTGCCTCAGCTGAGCGAACAGACATGTTGACAAAACACTCAAGTGAAGACCGTATCTACCCCCTGTCTGCAGGGAGACTGTGGCAATTAAATACTGTGAAACGAAACCCTGGTTTGGAGAAACATGGGAAACGATGTGCAATATTTTACCATGAGTTTACCTTCTAATTTATTATTGGAGAGATATTGAATATTTATGTTAATTCAGTTAATTTTCAAGAAATGTTCCATGCAACCTTGATTGCTTACCGGACTTCCTAGAACTCCTTGCAAACAAAACCAGAAAGCCCTAGCCTGGACATAAATCTTCCTAAAGAATCAGTCTGTTAGAAATTCAGTTTCTATAACCTGGAATCCACAAAAACCACACCTAGTCATTCTAACCTTCAAGAAGATGATTTACAGCCTTCTCAGAGTGAAATTTACTGAATCTGCCTATGCAATTACTCTATTCACCACAGGGCATTTTACTCTCATGAGACACCTGTGGTGAAGAAAATAATGATCGAGACAATAAAATTACTTGGCTTATTTACTTATTTCTTATTTAAACCCTGTGTCTCTTCAACAAAATTTGAGAGCATCAAAAATACACATAAGACCCCCAAAAAGTAAGAAAATGGATGGACAAGAAACCTAAGACGGTGCCATGGATGAGATCAGAACCTTAATGGTAGCCGATCAGCCTCAGAATGTGTCCGCACTTCTCAAACTTACACACCGTTATTACTCAGAACTACAGTTTGGGTGTAGATAACAAGCCAGGATCTTAAAATAGGATCTTAGGGGCACCTGGGTGGTTCAGTCAGTTACGCGTCTAACTTGGTTTGGGCTCAAGTGATGATCTCACTGTTTCATGAATTTGAGCCCCACCAAAGGCTCTGCTTGGGATTCTCTTCCTCCCTCTCTCTCTCTCTCTTTCTCTCTCTCTCTCTCTCTCCCTGCCCCCCCCCAAATAAATAAATAAACTTAAAAAACAAAATGGGATCTTAAAACAGGTGTCACAGTTTGCAATCATGCTTACTTTTCTCGCACGACTCTCAGAAAGCTTTTGGAAAACATCTTGGTTTCGCTGCCCAGTTTGCTGGTTGATGCAAATCATCTGGCATCTGTGACAAGGACCTAAAACCTAGAGGGGGCGAGAAGGGAAAAGACAGCGTTGCCGTGAAAGTGGCCAGACGCTCCTGCTAGTGCAGGGAGGAATCTGGGTCCAGGAGGACCGGTTGTCAGAGGTGTTCTCTGGGCCCACTCACACAGCAATGCTCACTACTCTGCTCTGACTGCTAGGAGCCAGAAAGTAGCCGCTCCTCACACAGTCCTGGGGGATCATCCATGTTTGTTCATCAACTGAAAGACTGCTGCTTCCGGGCTTTGTAGACAAAGAAAAGAGTTGTTGTGAATCTCGGATGGTGATCAGAGAATCTTGGAGATTCTCCCAGGAAGAAAAGAACTAACTGGTTGGAGGGTGAACTAGGAGAAGATAAACACCCACGGGCCCAGCACTGACTCATCAGAAAGAACCTTACTGTGTCCGTGTCCTTTGACCCAGAAACTTCGCTACTAGGAATTTCACTCAAGAAAAGAACCCCAAGTACAAACACAGGTTCGTGTACAATCTTTCTCATGTTGTTTGTGATCGGGGAAACCTGAGAGCATCTTAAACATCAAATAGTAGAGAACAATGGCTACACTACAGGTATATGAATATATCGTGCAGGTATTAAAATTGATCTATAAAGGGTTTTAAATGGTAAATACTTATTTTTATAAGTGAAATAAGCAGGAAAGAAAATTACATGTGTATTCACACATACACACACACACACACACACACACACACACACAGCTTCTTAACAGGGGTCATCCTGTTGGTCTGCCACGAGCAAGACTTGTTCTGTAGTGAGAAAAATCTCCCACAAATGTTAACACAAAACAAGAAAGCCTGCAGCTTAGCAGTGATGAGACACTGCTTTTGTTGCACCTATAAAAAGGGTGAAGGGACTTGATTTTCACATTTGCTCCTCTGCTCACTTGGGGGCAAACACCAAGTACGCACTGAAGCTAGAAACGGCTAAATCTGGATGTGTCTTGGCCTGTTCCTAGCACTCGCCTTCTGGCTGGTGGACCTTAAACCAATGGAAATACAACCTCAAGGTAGTACCAAAGTCAAGGCTCCCAGGCCTCCGCAAGCAGCTGGGCTGTGCTGTACGGGGCTCTGCCCAGCACTGGCCTTGACACTGAGCAGACCTATGACCTCTCCAGGCCTCATTGCCTCATTCAGCCCCTTCGCTTGATTTGGTGAGGATTCCAGACACTATTTCTAGGATGCCACGCCCAGGATTCTTGTGCATGAGAATGTCTGAGATGGAAAAAGACTGCCTCAAGATAGAACACTAAGCCCTCCAAGAGCAAGTACAGAACACGCTACCTCCTCTGCCTATAAAACTATGATTCCCAGGCCAGGCTCCCTCTGGCCCTGCAGAGCTATGTCCCACAGAATGGACGTCCCACCAGCCCTGGGCCTGGGCCCCAGTTGCCACCTGACAGATAGCACTTCATGTAAAACTCCTGTCGCTTTGGCCAAAAGGCTCTCTTAAAAGTTTCTCAAGCTGGCAGAGGGAAAAATATTTTCCAGACACTTTTTTCAAACACCAAGGTGAAGAAATCAATTTTCTTAAAACATCATCATTTTTTAAGCATTTTTCTCTAGCCCTCTCATCCATTGGCATTTAAAAAAAAATTGTTTACTAGTATACATGTTCTTTGAAAAATAACTCAAACTATACAGAGCAGCTTTAAGAGTTAAAAAAAGAGGGGCGCCTGGGTGGCGCAGTCGGTTAAGCGTCTGACTTCAGCCAGGTCACGATCTCGCGGTCCGTGAGTTCGAGCCCCGTGTCAGGCTCTGGGCTGATGGCTCGGAGCCTGGAGCCTGTTTCTGATTCTGTGTCTCCCTCTCTCTCTGCCCCTCCCCCGTTCATGCTCTGTCTCTCTCTGTCCCAAAAATAAATAAAAAACGTTGAAAAAAAATTAAAAAAAAAAAAAGAGTTAAAAAAAGAAAGCACTCAGGGTGCCTGGGTGACTCAGTCAGTTAAGCGTCTGACCTAGGCTCAGGTCACAGTCTCGCGGTTCGTGAATTCAAACCCTGAGTTAGTCTCTGTGCTGACAGCTCAGAGCCTGGAGCCTGCTTTGGATTCTGTGTCTCCCTCTCTCTGCCCCTCCCCACTTGCGCTCTGCCCCTCCTCCTCTCTCTCCCCCCAAAATAAATAAACATTTAAAAAAGGTTTAAAGAGAAAGCACTCAGCAGCGGCCTCCCTCCCTGTCTTGAGAGGCAAGTGCTGCTGATGTGGCTATAGATCCCTCCAGACTGCAGCTCGGAGCTGGACACAACCACACATGCACCCGTGCAACACACTCCCAGAGCTCTCAGAGGCCACGGGGTGTCTTCCCTGATTTCATTACTCCACATAACCCTATTTGCTGTTTAAAACTTGGGGGGAGGGGGTTTGATCTCTCTAAATGAGATTATAAAGCCAACGGGTATAAAAGTTTTTATGATTTGATGATAGCCAGTGAAAAATGAATTTCTAAAAGAGATTTAAAACTTGGGGGGGAGGGGGTTTGACCTCTCTAAATGAGACTATAAAGCCAACAGGTATAAAAGTTTTTATGATTTGATGATACCCAGTGAAAAATGACTTTCTAAAAGAAATGTGCTAAGTCTTTTTGCATTGCAACAGCCTCAGCCTGAGTATTATCATCGGCAAACATCTTTTAAGCATTTAGTTTTTGCAAGGCATAGTACTAACTATAGTTCACACTTTTTAGTGCCTGCACAGGACTACACTGTATGAATATAGCATAATTTATTTAAACAATCTCCCTTTTATGGATATTTCTGATGGCCTCCAATTTTTCATATTTCATGTTTTGGTTTGGGGGCTCCTGGTTTGCAAACTTTTTTTTTTAACATTTATTTTTGAGAGACAGAGCAAGACAGAGCACGAGTGGGGGAGGGGCAGAGAGAGAGGGGGGACACAATCTGAAGCAGCCCAGGCTCTAAGCTGTCAGCACAGAGCCTGACGCGGGGCTCAAACTCATGGGCTGTGAGATCATGACCTGAGCCAAAGTCGGAAGCCTAACCAACTGAGCCACCCAGGTGCCCCTCAATTTTTCATATTTCTAAAAGCATTACAATAAATAAACTTGTAATAGAACTCTGCATACTTGTACAGGTGTATTTTATGGACTAGATTTCTATAAGTGAGATGATTAGGCCAAAGGGCAGGCATATTTTAACTTTTACTAATGAATGTTTATTAAGAACACTGATCTAAAGAAAACAAAGCATTGGGACGCCTGGGTGGCTCAGTTGGTTAAGCGACCAACTTCGGCTCAGGTCATGATCTCGCGGTCCATGAGTTCGAGCCCCACGTTGGGCTCTGTGCTGACAGCTCAGAGACTGGAGCCTGTTTCAGATTCTGTGTCTCCCTCTCTCTGCCCCTCTCCTCCTCGTGCTCTCTCTCTCTCTCTCAAAAATAAATATTTTTAAATTTTTTAATAAAAATGAAGGAGAGCAGAACATCTCAGAAAAATTTCTTAAAGAATCTTCCTTGTATTTATGGCCCCAGGTAGCTGACAAACTGCAGATGCTATTGTTGCCAACAGTGTCAGAATTGTCTGACAGCGACAATAAGCTCATTCTAGTTCCTTCTCTCTCCTCTCCCTTTCTTCCTTTTCTTCCTCCTTCTCTCCATTTATCAAACAACAGGTATTAATACCTACTCTGCATCAGGCAGGATACATAAGAGCAAGTGTTTTAAAGACACAGCAGGGACAGAGAAACAGGAAATGAGGAAGAGAAGAGTAAGTCAGATGCAGGGGTGAGGAGGAACAGCAGGAGGGCTGGTGCCAGAGAGAGGCCTGTGGGCGTCAATGTCTGGGAGAGAAGAGATTGTTTTTTCAAGGAAGAAAAGCTGCCAGGATAAGAGGAGGTTTGGGGAGGTAAGTGGATAAAAAAAATTCTTTGGGACTTCTTCATGCCGTGAAATTTAAGTGCCGTCCACAACCCTAGACCTCCACCATTCTTCCAGGAAGATTTAAATGACTGCCTGCTGCTTTTCTGGATACCACAGTGGTGTTCCTTCCAGGTGCAGAGCCGGGACACAAGATAGCCCCAAGGTAGACGGTGAATACCAGGATTAATAATATTACTATTAAGATAATATCATCCCCCACTAAAGTACCAAGGACATTCTGTGCAGATGACCCATCCTTCTGTCCCTAGCTATTCCTTATCTTTCCTGTCCATTCATTCTCTCGATGGTTATTGAGCACTGACTCTGGGCCAAGACTGTTCTGGGCCCTAGAGGTACAGCTGAACAAAACATACTAGTCCCCACCCTCGTGTGCTCTGAAGGAATAAGCAGGTGCTATGCTTAAGAGCCTGACCTTCCCAAGGAGGTGCCATCTGAGCGGAGACCCTGAAGTGGCTGCAGGAAGAACACGCCAAGCAGAAGGGACACGCTGAGACAGGAAGCTTGGCGTGTTTAGGAAATGTAGAGACGGATGGTGTGGCAGGCAACGGGAGGGCTAGAGAGGTCAGAGGGATCAGGTCTCAGGAGCCCTGTTGTCTCCAAGGAAGAATGTAGGTTTTAGCCTAAGGCTCTCTCACATTTTTTCAAGCCCACAGCACTGTTTGGGGAGCCGGAGCCTGGGGAGAGAGGGCAGGGGGCAGCTTCACCTCTCTGACTGTAAGCTCCTCCACAAAGGCCAGCAAGGCAGGAAGCCAGGGCGTGGGAAGAAGGTAGAGTGGTGGCCACGGACACTGAAGGACCACTAGACATCTGGGTCCTCCTCCACCAGCACCAGACATCAGGAAAGTGCAACAGGTTCCAGGAGGAGAATGTTCCCATAGACACAAGCATTCTAAGAAAACACCGTTTAAGCCCAAACATAATTATGAGATGGAGGCGGCACTGAGCCCTGACCACCTGTAGGAGCACCTTCTCTCTGTCCCACGGGCAACTGACTGCTGCCACCTTCGTAGGGAATAAGAGATGGATCCTTCCAAGGGGAGTCCCAGAATGCAGATGTCACAAACCCCCCAGCTGAGGCTTTGCGGGTCAGAGTCAAAGACAGACAGGGGATTCCCACCTGCCACCGGCCAGGCCACCATCCTGGCCACAGATGGAGGTCAGTCTCCATCGGCAACCCTTGAGGGAGGATAACCGAACATCCCTGACTCACCTGGAAACGCAAGGAACCGACTGAAATCTCATCCCACGTCTCTTCTTCAAAAGGGCTTGTCCCACTGGTAATAATATTGGCACGGAAACGTGAGATGAGTTCTTTCATCGGGAATAATTCCTCCTTTCCATTCGCATCACTGTTTAAGACATGCCAAAAGGGGGGTAGTGGGAAGAGTAGACAATGGAGGCACAATTGTTCAACATTTCTAGCCCTTGATGCCTGACTTCATCAACTGTTCTCAGGCCTAAGCCTAGATGATCAGAACCAGCTTCTACCACGAGTGTAAGACCAGCAGACACGCATCCGTTAGGCAGACCTTGATGGTGTTCCATGGGAGATGATCCCATCTCCATGGACAGGCCCACAAGAGGAAGTGCAAAGAGTAAGTAGATCTTAGCTGAAGAGACAAAGGACTCTGGAAACCAAGGGAACAGGAGTCAAATGAACAAACTTCTACGAAAAGACCAGTTCTACGTCGCGCATCTGGACAAGGCGCTTAAGGAGTGTCAACAGGCTTAACTACCAAGGACCTAAGATGTTCCAAGAGCGCCTACTTTGTTTTTGGATATGAGTACGCCATAAAGCAACAATGCGTACACATGGGAGGTTTTAGTATTGATTTTCTACAGAGAACTGACTGGTGGTTACCAGAGGCAGGGGTGGGAGCGGGCAAAATGGGTGAAGGGGGCCAAAAGGCACAAACTTCCAGTTATAAAATAAATACATCATGGGGATGTAACGTGCAGTGCGATGACCATAGTCGTTAATACCGTACTGCATATTTGAAAGTTGCTAAGAGAGTACATCTTATAAGTTCTCATCACACGAAAAAAAATTTGTAACTATATAGGGTGACAGATGTTAACCAGACTTATTGTAGTGATTGTTTCTCACTATGTACAAATAACGAATCATGCTATTGTACACCTGAAACTAATATAATGTTGTATGTCAACTTTATCTCCATAAAAACAAATTTACTTGCTAACTTGTGTACTATTTGCAGTTTTAATGAGCATTCACTATTTTTGTAATTCTTGTTTAAGATTTTGGTTTATGGCCATGAGGTCCCATAAAATGGCTCTCTGCACCTCCATGCACTAAAGGGAAAAAGAACGAAAAATAAAGCATCTGAGGGGCACCTGGGTGGCTCAGTCAGCTGAGCGTCTGACTTCGGCTCAGGTCATGATCTCTCAGTTTGTGAGTTCAAGTCCCATGTCAGGCTCTATGCTGACCGCTCAGAGCCTGGAGCCTGCTTTGGATTCTGTGTCTCCTTCTCTCCCTGCCCCTCTTCCACTTGTGCTCTGTCTCTCTCTGTCTCTCAAAAATAAATAAATGTAAAAAAAAATTTTTTTTAATAAAGCATCTGAAAACGTCAACAAAAGAACACATTGTGTGATCCCGTTATATTGGGTTCAAGAACAAGCGAAATGATCGATGATAAAAGAAGTCAGAATAGTGGTGATCTTCTGTTGGACTGACTGACAGGGCATACGAAGAAGGTTTCTGGCGTACTAGAGATGTTCTCTAATTGGTCTGGGCAGTGGTACATGGGTGTGTGTGTATATATATATATATATATATATATATATATATGTAAAAATTAATTGAGATATGTACTTATAATTTTTGTGCTTTGTTGTGCTTCAACAAAGAAAAATTTTTTTTTAATTTTTTTTTCAACGTTTTTATTTATTTTTGGGACAGAGAGAGACAGAGCATGAACGGGGGAGGGGCAGAGAGAGAGGGAGACACAGAATCGGAAACAGGCTCCAGGCTCTGAGCCATCAGCCCAGAGCCTGACGTGGGGCTCGAACTCACGGACTGCGAGATCGTGACCTGGCTGAAGTCGGACGCTTAACTGACTGCGCCACCCAGGCGCCCAAGAAAAATTTTTTTAAGTTGGGGGATGGGGTAGTCCCAAAGTACACCTGGAATTTTCCCTGGAAACAGAGCTGAAAAGCCCTGGTGGAGGACAAGGCTGTAATATCCCAATCCCCTTCCGGCAGGGGCTGGTGAGTGCAAAGCGGGGACCAGGATAACCAAGTCTAGTTTCAGCACTACAGTTTCTTCATCTGAAATGAGAGGGCTAGCACTTTCCAGTCCTAAAATCCTTGGATTCTGGATTTAGCCTCCAAGTTACAAACGTTCCCTTTGTGTTTTGTAAAAGGGAAAGTTTTATGTTCAAAAGATATTATGGTCATCATCAGGGAAATACACACCAAAACCACAATGAGATACCACCTCACACCTGTCAGAAGGGCTAACATTAACAACTCAGGCAACAACAGATGTTGGTGAGGATGCAGAGAAAGAGGATCTCTTTTGCACCGCTGGTGGGAATGTCAGCTGGTGGAGCCACTCGAGAAAACAGTATGGAGATTCCTCAAAAAGTTAAAAATAGAACTACCCTACGACTCAGCAATTGCACTACTAGGTATTTATCCAAGGGACACAGGTGTGTTGTTTCAAAGGGACACATGCACCCCAACGTTTCTAGCAGCTCTTTTGACAAGAGCCAAAGTGTGGAAAGAGCCCAAATGTCCATCAACAGATGAATGGACAAAGAAGATGTGGTATGTATGTATGTATGTATATATATATATATATATATACACATACATACACAATGGAGTATTACTCAGCAATCAAAAAGAATAAAATCTTGCCATTTGCAACGATGTGGATGAACTAGAGGGTATTATGCTAAGCGAAATTAGTCAGAGAAAGACAAATATCATATGATTCCACTCCTGTGGAATTTAAGATACAAAACAAATGAACATAAGGGAAGGGAAGCAAAAATAATATAAAAACAGAGAGGGGGACAAAACGTAAGAGACTCTTAAATATAGAGAACACACTGAGGGTAGCTGGAGGGGTTGTGGGTGGGGGTTGGGCTAAATGGCTGAAGGGGCATTAAGAAGGACACTTGTTGGGATGAGCACTGGGTGTTCTATGTAGGGGATGAATCAGGGGATTCTACTCCCGAAACCGTTATTGCACTACATGCTAACTAACTTGGATATAAATTTTTTAAAAAAGATATGATCAGCATATACACTATAGAGTCCATCAAATTTGAAAGTAGAACAGAGATACAGCAACCACAGCCCTCAGCGGCCCTCCCAGGCACAAGGCACAGGCTGGTCCACTTAACCTGTCACACCCACTGCCTGCTTGTCAGCCCTGCGCTCAGACACCAGTAGGAAACACGGTCCCCTCCTGGTAGGAACCAGGATTGCAGCAAGCCGGTCTCCCCCTCCTATTTTTTCCACACAAAGAACCCTAGAAAACCACTGACCTGCTCTCTCCAGGGCTCTGGGTCCCTGAGGAGGAGTGTCACTTGATGCCGGGATAGCTCAGTGAACACCCAGGGACCATGAAGCTGCACCATACTTCTATACCCAAGGAGAGCGAGCAAGGCCATGGCCAGGGAACTCTGTTGCACGTTTTTGCCAACGACTACAAACAGGAATCACTACAAACAGCCCATCTTTGTTATTTTTATTAAGCTACCTTTGTACGTGTTTCTGAGTGTGCACACATGTGCCCAAGACCACAAGGCACGTAAGAGTCACAGGATCCCTGGCTCACGGTGACGGGCGTGTGCACACCTCTCCTGGCCTGTGGACTAGGAATAAGCAGCCGGACACAGCTGTCACATAACAGTGGGGCCTTTTGCCCTAATTGTCTGATTCCCTTGGGACTTCAATTTCCTCTAAATACAACGAAGGGGGTTGAACTAACTCTTTCTGGAGCTGACCCGCTAATACGTCAGGGCCCTTAGCAGCACCTCGGGTGGAAGTGAGCAGCCAGTGCTCTTGGTTCTGTCTGCTGATACAAACATATAATATCTACAGTTACAACTTTAAAAGCTTTCATAACCACCCTTTTCACTCAAAAGGATTGTGGAAATAGGGCAAGGCTCCTAGGGAACAGGGGGCGGTGGGAGGACGGGCAATGAAACTGGGTCAAGTTCATTTCCATTAAAGCAAATGTTAAGAAATGGAATGATTAAAAATGAGAGTTGGGGTTCGCTAAACATCATGAAGTCATCAAGAGAGACGTGGGAGCTGGACCCAAAGGGCTTTGTAACTTCTTGGGGCCTCAGTCTCTCGTCTGCACTCCACGACTCCCCAGGCAGGTGCAAGGCTCACCCTCAGAGTCAAGTGGTTACACCTGCCTGCTATTCCCAAGGCTATTCCCATGTCTTACCTGGCATTTAATTGCTGCTGAAGCTCCAAAACGCTGGGTCTATTTATCAGCAAATACTGTGCTTCATTCACCAGAGAAAGGGTGGCTGTTGAACCAGCAGATTGATCTAAAAGTGATGGGGTATTTTTAAAAGAAGTTGCTAAATACACACACACAGACACGCACACACACACATAATGTACATATATATGTATATCTATCTATATCTATCTATCTATCTATCTATCTATCTATCTATATACTCAGCCATAAAAAAGAATGAAATCTTGCCATTTGTGACAACATGGATAGACCCTGAGGGCAGTATACTAAATGAAATGAGTCAGACAGAAATGCCATATGATCTCACTTATATGTGGAATCCAAAACAAACAAACAAAACAAGCTCATAGACACAGAGAACAGACTGGTGGTGAACAGAGGCAGGGGGTGGGGGAGGGCAGGATGGACACAGGATGGAGTCAAAAGATACAAGCTTCAGTTATGAAATAAATACATCACAAGGAGGTAATGTACACCGTGGTGACTATACTTAATAACATTGTACTGCATATTTGAAAGTTGCTAAGAGAATAAATCGTAAAAGTTCTCATCACAAGAAAAAAAATTTAACTGTGTATGGTGACAGATGTTAACCAGATTTATTGTGGTGGCCATTTCTCAATACATACAAATACCAAATCGTTATGCTGTACGTCTGAAACTAATATAGTGTTATATGTCACGTATACCTCAATAAAAAAAGTTTAAATAAATTAAAAAGAAGAATTGCTTTCTCGGCATGCAAACGAATCCTGCTTCCATTGGCTTGCATTTTTAAAAAGGAGAGACGATTTCTATAAGGGAAAAAAAAAATGGTGGCCTGGAAATAATAAAAATGTTCTAAGCATTGCTTAAACCTCTCAGAAATAGAAAATGAGCTGTTAATAATCTGGAAAAATAATAATAATAAAATGCCCAAGTGAAATTGTCCCCAGCAAAGAAGACCGGGAGGCAACATTTAGCGAAGGAGAAGTGAGAGGGAGGCAGGGATAGGGAGCTTCCCCAAGATGGTGGAAAGCGGGACCTTGATGAGAGCCACAGGCCCAGGAAGGTCTGAGTCCGGTCAGGGAAAGCTGTCTTTTGTCCTTAGGCAAGTGTGTGATATTGACTTCAGAAATAACTAATACGAGTTTTAAAACTACTAGAAGGAGAAAAAGCCAGCGAAAGAAAATATCAAGCGTGCCCAGAACTGCTAGCACTTTCTGTCAGACCATTCGTTGGGAGGCCGTCGCTGTCTTCACGGGAGATGTTGAGAAAAAGTGTAGGCTGGGCCAAAGCCTAGCGAGCTGTCTCCGAACCAAATGTGTGGAACCCAGCACACACAAGAATGGATACTTTTAAGACAATTGCTTTTCAGATCCTCTACTTCCAAATGTTCTTTTTGCTAAAATGGTTCTGTCAGAGGAGGGAGGTGGAATCCCAGCCCCCTCCGCACAGGCCCTTTTTGCACTTCCCAGAAGAAAGGCTCGCCTCTCCTAAAGCACATTGCCATGGAGGCTAAAACTCCAGGGTGGAAAACAAAAGCCCCATTCAAAGCCCTGGGGTCTGTGCTGAGAAAATACAAGCCTCTAAAGCTTGGGTGAATGAGCCTCCCCTAGGTCAGATGGGTTCCCATTCCTCACTATACACAAAACTGCCCAACCTAATTAAGTGGCCACATGACAGATGATTAAGTCATCATAATGTTAGATCCCTGTGCTTTGGTCATGTGCCTCAGAAGAAAGGTTTGAGTGACAGTGCATTAACCAAATTCTTTCAGTCCCCAGCTCTGTAGTGACTTAAATAGGGTTCTCCAGAAAAGAATCAGTGCTGAGCATAGGCTATTCTGGGCACAGGTGACATTCATTCATGGATACGGGAATGAATGGCAGGGGTGGGGCGGTGGGGGAGGGCTCAGGCCTCTCAGTAAGAGATTCCTTCTCAACAATGTTTTCTCTTTCTGTTCATTAACTATTTTTCAAAATGTATAATGTACTTCTGTTGCTTTGATAAACTGTGTACCATTAAAGAGGGACTCAACCAAAAAGATCTCCTAACACTTAGACTCGTGATCATCGTAAACTTGGAAAATGTGTATACATTTCAATTTATATATAATTGTGGCTTCACATGAATATGGTAGCGTGAACAAGAAAAGATTTTCAAGCATACAATATATAACGCTAAGATAAAATTCCGTCAAGGGAGTGGAATGGAAGTATAAGTCGAAGAAGGGAAAGGAAAGAAAGAAAATTCCTGACCATCAAAAGACAGTTTGTCCATATATATACTTTAATGAATATTCTTGAAAATCAAACCACTAAATATTGAAATTCCACTGGCCAATTTAGATGACAGTGTAAATAACGTAGCTTTAAAAAGGTTCCTCTCGAGAAAGCAGGAAAAGACCTCTCTGACCTCAGCCGTAGCAATCTCTTACTCGACACATCCTCAAAGGCAAGGGAATTAAAAGCAAAAATGAATTACTGGGACCTTATGAAGATAAAAAGCTTCTGCACAGCAAAGGAAACAACCAACAAAACTAAAAGGCAACCAACGGAATGGGAAAAGATATTTGCAAATGACATATCGGACAAAGGGCTAGTATCCAAAATCTATAAAGAGCTCAACAAACTCCACACCCGAAAAACAAATAACCCAGTGAAGAAATGGGCAGAAAACATGAATAGACACTTCTCTAAAGAAGACATCCGGATGGCCAGCAGGCACATGAAAAGATGTTCAACGTCGCTCCTTATCAGGGAAATACAAATCAAAACCACACTCAGATATCACCTCACGCCAGAGTGGCCAAAATGAACAAATCAGAAAACTATAGATGCTGGAGAGGATGTGGAGAAATGGGAACCCTCTTGCACTGTTGGTGGGAATGCAAATTGGTGCAGCCACTCTGGAAAGCAGTGTGGAGGTTCCTCAGAAAATTAAAAATAGACCTACCCTATGACCCAGCAATAGCACTGCTAGGAATTTACCCAAGGGACACAGGAGTACTGATGCATAGGGGCACTTGTACCCCAATGTTTATAGCAGCACTCTCAACAATAGCCAAATTGTGGAAAGAGCCTAAATGTCCATCCACTGATGAATGGATAAAGAAATTGTGGTTTATATACACAATGGAGTACTACGTGGCAATGAGAAAGAATGAAATATGGCCTTTTGTAGCAACGTGGATGGGACTGGAGAGTGTGATGCTAAGTGAAATAAGCCATACAGAGAAAGACAGATACCATATGGTTTCACTCTTATGTGGATCTTGAGAAACTTAACAGAAACCCATGGGAGAGGGGAAGGAAAAAAAAAAAAAAGAGGTTAGAGTGGGAGAGAGCCAAAGCATAAGAGACTGTTAAAAACTGAGAACAAACTGAGGGTTGATGGGGGGTGGGAGGGAGGGGAGGGTGGGTGATGGGTATTGAGGAGGGCACCTTTTGGGATGAGCACTGGGTGTCGTATGGAAACCAATTTGACAATAAATTTCATATATTGGAAAAAAAAAAAAAGGTTCCTCTCAGGTATACCAACCTAAAATTATTCAAAGACCAGTGGCCTAGACCGTCAGGGACGTCTCCACCATAAAAGGCATCCTCAAAGTATAATGTTCTCAAGCTGACGCTCCCTGACACTGCATCATGCAGGGGACAGACCTCTCTGCACCTACCTTTGCCTCACCCAGGTCCCCACCTCCCACGAGGACAGTCACTGGCACTTCCTGCCTGGCCCCTGTGCTTCTCTCACCTCCCTCTCTGAAGCAGCCTCCACATCGCGCCAAGAGTATCTTTCTAACACGTGTGGCATCACGAAACTCCTCAGCTTAGAGTTTGCAATGAATGCCCCCAACCACAAGGTAGCACTTACTGACTCCTCAAGCCAAGCATTCATCCTTTCTCCCCAGCTCTCCCCCATGGCTCCCCTCCCACCTTCAACCCTCCTAAACACCTCTCTGGGCCCGTGAAATGCCAAGGCCTGCCATACTGCTCCCGACTAACCTTCCCGCCTCTCTCTGCCTAGAAAACTCCTGCTCTCATGTTAAGACGCAGCACCAAAGTCATCTCCTCCCTGAAGCCCTCCGTGACTCACTCCCTGTGTAGAAGATACCTCCCCCCACCAACCCATGCCCTTTGCATAGACCTTTATTGTCACCTTTATGTTAGTGTCACTGTGTACTGGTAGGTCGTTGCCTCTAAGCTTAGATCTTGGAGGACCACAGCCGTTGCTTCATAATCTCAGCCAGCATCCTAAAGACCCAGCTGAGCCCCAAGTAGACAGCAGGCACCAGGAACCACTGGACCTTATTCTATCAACTCATTTAGATGGCGGCCCTGGTCCCGTCGAGCCCCACTCCTTGCATGTCCCTACTCGGAGTGCCCATCTCTCTCTCCCCTTTCATCATGTCTCTAAGCTTACCCACTCCCAAACACCATCAGCTCACCCCCTCAGTAAGAGCAGCATACATTTATTCCCGTTCTCCATCACATAGCAACTCAACTTCTTGCACAACTTATGACATGCCAAACTGTCAACACTTCTGAAATGTGCAGTATTTTACATCCGTTGAATTCTCTATCATACGTATTCAGGGATTCATGGGTTCATCTGTGCAGGTCACTAGATCCAGTCACTGGTCCCCATACTGTCCCAATGTTACTCAGATTTACAAGCCAGTCTCTCTGGGAGCTAACCACTAAGCCAGGTCATCCTTACACAAATCAGTAATGTGGCAGTGACCCCTTCATTCCTTCATCTAGTATTTACCGAGCAACTACTATGTGCCAGACGCTGTTCTGAGCACAGCGGATGCAGCACTGAACAAAGTGCACAAAAATCCCCGTCCTCCCAGGGCTTAAAATGTATCACAGTCTACTAAACAGAATAACTGAGTGAAATGCATGGCCTATCAGATGCGAAAAGCACCCCACAGAAAATAAAACAGGGAACGAGCCACAGAGGTTCAGGTGGGGGCTCTGGTCCTGAGGAGAGCAGTCAAGTAGGCTTCCCTGAGAAGCTGGCACTTGAGCAGACACCTGAAAGCGATCTCTTCTTCCCATGTGGTACTGTTAACTTCCAAGTACAGTAAAACCTTAGATTGCGAGAAATTTGTTCTCTGAGTGTTCCGTAAGATGAGCAAACCTCTCTCTCTCTCTCTCACTGTGGGATTGTGGGTGATCATGTCCCATGCTTGGATGGTCAGTCTCAAGCTGCAGTGTTTGGCAGAAATCAGTGATTTTTCAGAATGTGGGAAGGTGCCCACAGCTGGCACTAGTGTATTTTTTTGTCACTTCAAAGCACCTATGGACAGTCCTTTGCTTTTCCATACAAAGGAAGCTTAGAAATGTTTTGCTTCATTTAGGTCAGGCTGCCTGCAGATATAGACCTTTTCCTCTGCTGCCTTATTGCCAGTAACATTAAACATAGTATCTGACAAGAGTTCATTAATACTATACTGTAGGGGCACCTGGGTGGCTCAGTCGGTTAAGCGTCCAACTTCAGCTCAGGTCACGATCTCACAGCTCGTGAGTTCAAGCCCCATGTCGGGCTCTGTGCTGACAGCTCAGAGCCTGGAGCCTGCTTTGGATTCTGTGTGTCTCTCTCTCTCTGCTCCTCCCCCACTCAGGCTCTCTCTCTCTCTCCTTCAAAAATAAAGAAATGTTTAAAAAAAATTTTTTTAAATACTGTACTGTAGGGGCGCCTGGGTGGCGCAGTCGGTTAAGCGTCCGACTTCAGCCAGGTCACGATCTCGCGCTCTGTGAGTTCGAGCCCCGCGTCGGGCTCTGGGCTGATGGCTCAGAGCCTGGAGCCTGTTTCCGATTCTGTGTCTCCCTCTCTCTCTGCCCCTCCCCCGTTCATGCTCTGTCTCTCTCTGTCCCAAAAATAAATAAATGTTGAAAAAAAAATTAAAAAAAAAAATACTGTACTGTAGTCAACATCTGTTAGTGATAATGAAAGTTGTCCTATACAATAACCCTCCTTGCTCTTGTCTCCCTCACACCAGTCACAAAGGTTTTTAAAGGTAAGTACAGATTTATTTTTCTTTATATTTTGTATTTACTTTATTATTTTGTATCATATCACTGTACCGTAATCATTTTTATATGAATATTTTGGGGTCGTGGAACAAATCATCTGAGTTTCCATTATTTCATGGGGAAATTCACTTTGCTATAAAAGTACTTTGGATTACAAGCCTGTTTCCAGACCAAATTATGCTTGCAAACCAAGGTTCTACTGTACTTTCTTCTCTGCTGTCTCCCTTCAGCTCACAACAGCTACGGCAGGAAAAACCACCAGCATTTTTATAAGTCGAAGGCATGGAGGTCTACACCTGTCTGGGCACCAAGAGGCTCCGCATTGGCCAAGTTCTCAGGCATGTGGTGACAGAGCCAAGACCAGCAACCAGGTTTTCTCGTTCCCACATACAAACTGAGGGCATAACAAGATACCAATGTTTTTTTGTTTGTTTGTTTGTTTGTTTGTTTGTTTTCAGGGAGAGACAGAGCATGAGCAGAGGAGGGGCAGAGAGAGAGGGAGACACAGAATCCGAAGCAGGCTCCAGGTTCTGAGCTGTCAGCACAGAGCCCGATGCGGGGCTCAAACTCACAAACTGTGAGATCATGACCTGAGCCCAAGTCTGATGCTTAACCGACTGAGCCACCCAGGAGGCCCCAAGCTACCAGTGTTTTTATATAACCCCAATGAAATTGTGCTTCTAAACACGACAGACTGAGACAGAGCACTTGTCAGAGGCAAAACAGCTGGGTGGAACCCCACCTCTACCTCCTCGGGGTCATCCTAGAGACCACACGTGGGTCCTCTGGACCACCCTGCTTTCTGCACAAGAACAAGTCACCCTGGGAATTCACTTCAGGAGCTGATTTTTTCTTCAATGTTTATTTTTATTTTTGAGAGAGAGGAAGAGGAGAGAAAAGGAAGGGAGGGGCAGAGAGAGGGGGACAGAGGATCTGAAGCAGGCTCTGTGCTGACAGGGGCGAGCCCGATGTAGGGCTCGAACTCATAAATCATGGACTGATTTTGATGTATGCAAGAGTAAACCCAAGTTCCTGTCCCCTAAGAACCAACCAGAAATGTGATACCTTTGACCCGCTTCTTTGCACTTCTTTGAAAGTTTGAACTTTGTTTGAGCAATTGACATGGATGGCCAAAAAATCTTGACAACCAGCTTGAAATTTTTTCTCCACAATTATAAGTATTTACCCTGGGGGAAAAAAGGGGGGGTGGTGAATGTTCTATAGTATTCCTTTAAGTAATAATATAAATAGCTAAAATATTTTCAATTGTAAGATATAATACAATATAATATAATACTGAATGTAATGTAAATACGGTATTGGACCCCAGGGAGAAGGGAGCACTCAGGAAGCTGCAGGCAAATACCCAAAGCACAGGAAGACCCAAGGCCCGCTGCTCATGCGAAACCTTCAGATCAGATCAGAAGCTTTGGAAGTTCCTCTTAAAAGACCTTGTTTATGTCCATTATAGCCACTGAATACCACCAAGCTTAGAATTTGAGAGCTTCCAGAGCAACATTTTGCTTTAAGAAGCCCTTGAACCCAGACATATGTTCTGGGTTTTTACCACACACCAGCGAATCTTTTCCCTCATGGCCAGACCACATGGAATAATAGGTCTGGTCTGTGGAAAGAGCACTATGCCTCTCAGTTACCAGTATAAGTGCATTCATTGATCCAGTTTTTTAAAAACTCTGTAATATTAGAGACTTTTTAAGTATAATTTCAAGAATTTAATTTTTTTATTCAAAAAAATTTTTTTAATTTTTTAAATTTTTAAGTAGGCTCCATGTTGAGCATGGAGAACAACACGGGGCTTGACCCTGAGATCAAGACCTGAGCTGAGATCAAGAGCCAGACGCTCAACCGACTGAGCCACCCAGGAGCCCCAAGAATTTAAATTTTTAAAAATTATTCTAAAATCTACCCATCCCAGAATTCACAATGCAAAATTGCTAATAACCTACATTGGGATTACATGATAGACATGTCCTTAATTTTTCCTGGATCAAATAGCTGCCTGTCTGTATGTAGAAAGGGAAGAGTAGAATGAAACCTCATTTAGTTTCATATTCTCTTCGATGCTTTGAGAGATTGCACTGAAGTCTGTTTTCATTCATCTGAGCACTGATGGATCTGAGAAGAGACCTAACTACCTCTTTATTAGCCAGAAAACAGCATTCCTCTCAAATGTACAACCAGGAATGCACCTTGTAAATAACAGCAGGTATCCCTAAATGGCTAGGGAACATGCTTGGTAGGTTTGAACAACAGCAGGGGGCAGTGTGGTCAGCATGGAGTTCATGAGGGGAAAGAGGCAGCACACTGGACGGGAGGGGGCGGTGCACCTGAGGGCAGATCTACAGGGCATTGCTCTCTTCCCCCTCTGTACTACCCTGCAGATGGACCTGAGATTTTTACCTGTGGCGGAGTCTCACCTGTCCGCACAGACCTTGCTTTGGCAAATCTGAGTCCGTTCACCATTTTCCTCAAGAGGCACCGCTATAGGCTCCATCCCTAATGAACAAAGGTTACAGACAGATTTACCATCACGCAAAAAGAACAACAATATAAGTGTAAGTCCATTATCACAAAGTATACAAGAATTGTCATGACCCTGGAAATTGATTGCATCAAATAATTGGCCAGGTCTTGGAAATCTCTTTGTAACACAGAGATTCTCTTTAGCATGGTCATCACCAACAATAGCTTATACACCAAACAGCCTTCTTACGGAAGACCCTGCACTCAGGCAGTCACATCCACCACAGTCACATCCACATATATATATTTATATAACACTATAAATCCCTTAGATTTCTCTACCTCTGGGTGACTCCACATACTAAAGCCATTGGTTTCCCTTACATCCTTTAGAAATAGGCAGGCATGAAGATTCATTCTGTAAAGATATCAGCATGGAGCAGTATTTCTCAACAGCTCTTGGGAGTCAGCATCCAATTGGATTCCTGCGCCAATCATTGTTATCATGATGGATAGATAGATAGGTAGACAAGACAGACAGACAGACAGAAATAAAACTGTTACTATGTTAGTGGGGTTGGGAAGCTTTTTTAAAAATTAGTTACATGTATCATATGTATGAAGGAGTATAGAGCATATGTATGTAACAGTTTAAAGAATAATAGTTAACACTCATGTACCCATTAGTCAGCTAAAGTGGTATCCATTCTTTAATAAAATCAGAGTGAGATACGTGGATGAAATGAGAGGAAACTAGCCCAATGCCATTAAGGTGTGAAAGACCTTTGGTAAAGGCTGAAACTGCCAGGCCCTCTGTCACTCTGCACTCCTTGTCCTCCATGAGCCATTAAGAGTATAGGGAAAGGCAGGAAGCCAAGGCACCTGAGCAGAATGTGTGGTGCCCTCTATTCTGCAGACACTCAAAGAAGGAGCTCCTCCTGTGTGACTCACCTGTGCCCTCTAGCCCTCTCAGCATGGCTGCCAGTCACACCGCTCAGACTGTCCCTCAGGCAAGCTCATGTCATGCACGCCTGCATCCCTGCCCCTCTTGGTCCTTCCTCATCACACGGAGCACAACACAGCACAGCAAACTGGTGCATCACAAGCTTCAGATCATGCCTGCTGCTCAGGCCCTGTCCATCACAACAGGGCTTTCACCACGACAAAGAAAGAGATGCAACGATTTGAGTATCTAGAATTCCATAGGGAACTACGTCCCCTGCTTGTCTGCACCTTACACATGCACAGCCAGCTCACACTCCTGGCCCTGTGTGGGGAAAGCCAGAAGAACTAATCCAGAATGCTCAAAAAGTTCAGAGAAGGAATGTGTTGTGCTGAGTAATTACAGATGCTGTCATGTCAAAGGAGTATGGATGGGAGAAGGATATAGTGGAGGTATGCATACACAGGGGAGAGCAGTACAGCAAGCTTGGAGCGTTGGTTATGAGGAAGTAACCACAGCAGTGGGGACAATGTGGACAGTTGCACACCCTGGACAGCCAATGGTAGGCCTGTGCTCAGCCTCTTTGCATCCTTACCCAAGGCTCTAAATAAATCACACAGGGTCTTTGGCCTTTAGCTGCCTTCTAAAGGTCATTGCAGGCCTCTGGTTAAGACCACAAAGTCTGGAAGCCATCCATGAATTGAACTCAAGGGCCCCCAACAAAGTTCATGGGAAATGAGTTCATTATGTACTAAGCCCTATGCTCAGATCAGAGATACTGAGAAATAAAAAAGCCTGACCTCTGGATGCCTAAAATCTTTGGGAGTGACAAATCACACACATGAAACCATTAAAATGTCTTGTTTTACTATTTATTATTTAGTTTGTCCTGTCATGCATTGCCAAAGGATGCCCTTACTCCACCCACAATGCAGGAGTCCCCTGAAAGTGAGCAGAGTATCTGATACATGGTGGGAGGGGGCACAACACCACCTCACAAAGTGCTGCTGATTTGGAGTGGAAGATATTGGGTATTTGTTTTCTTTCTTTCTCTTATTCTTTACATTCTGGGACAAACCCTACTTAGTCATGATATATATTTTTATGCTTCAGAGAATAGAAACGAAGAGAAGCAATCTACTCAATTATTTTTGTAAGTTAATATCCTGGGTACCTAAACTTAAATAAGAAAAGCACAGTAAGAGAAGATGATGTATCAATCTCACTAATAAATAGGCAGAAAAAAAATACTAAACAAAATATTGGCAAACCAAATCCATCAATGTATCAAAAGATCATTGTCAAGTAGTGTTTTTCCCCCCAAGAGTCCAAGGATAATTTACTAATAGACAATCTACTAGTGTAAGACATCACACTGATAGACTATAGGGAAAAAAATATGATGACCAACAGATGCAGAAAAAGCATTCAATAAGAATTGACTACTAGTCATCATTTGGCTAAATAAGAAAGGAACTACTTTAGCCTGGTAAAGCAAATCTACCAAAAACCTACAGTAAGCATCATTCTTATTTTTGAAACTTTGAAGGCATTCTATTCAAATCAGTAATAAAGAAGGATATCTTCCATCACTGCTCCACCATTATATAAGAAGGCCTAGCCAAAGCTATAAGGTAAGAAACAGAAAGAAGATAAATAAAAATTAGAAAGATATGATACTACCATTATTAGAAGACAATATACCTCTTTACACAGAATATGCAAGAAAATCTTCAGACCAACTAATAAAACTAATAAGAATTCAGAAAAGTACTGGGTAAAACATTAACATACAAAAATCAATAGTGTTTCTATATGCATTGATAGCCATTAAAATATTTAATAGAAAAAAGATAGTATTAAAAATATTCCAATAAACTATTACATAGCAAAAAAAGTGTAAAAGTTTCTGGAAAATATTATTAAATTTTGGAGTAATTAGAAAAGTCTTAAATGGAGAGAAACACTGTAAATAAAAGACTGGATATTATATGATGTAAGTTCTTTTGAAATTAATATATGATACTACAATCAAAATATGATTACAAATATATGACTGCAAAATATGTGATTTTGCAATAAAAATCCCAACAGGACACACCAATAAATATACAGAGATTGTCAAAGTGGATAAAAAAGCACGAGCCAATTGTATGCTGCATACAGGAAACTCACTTTAAATATAGTGATATAGGCAGATTAAGAGTAAAAGAGCTAAAAGGCATCCAAATTGGCCAGGAGGAGGTCAAACTTTCACTCTTCGCAGATGACATGATACTCTATATGGAAAACCCAAAAGATTCCACCAAAAAACTACTAGAACTGATCCATGAATTCAGCAAAGTTGCAGGATATAAAATCAATGCACAGGAATCGGTTGCATTCCTATACACCAACAATGAAGCGACAGAAAGAAATCAAGGAATCAATCCCATTTACAGTTGCACAAAAACCATAAAATACCTAGGAGTAAATCTAACCAAAGAGGTGAAAAATCTATACACTGAACACTATAGAAAGGTTATGAAAGAAATTGAAGAAGACATAAAAAAAATGGAAAAAGATTCCATGCTTCTAGATAGGAAGAACATATATTGTTAAAATGTTGATACTACCCAAAGCAAACTACACATTCAATGCAATCCCTATCAAAATAACATCAACATTCTTCACAGAGCTAGAACAAATAATCCTAACATTTGTATGGGACCAGAAAAGACCCCAAATAGCCAAACCAATCTTGAAAAAGAAAACCAAAGCAGGAGGCATCACAATCCCAGACTTCAAGCTATACTACAAAGCTGTAATCATCAAGACAGTATGGTAATGGCACAAGAACAGACACTCAGATCAATGGAACAGAATAGAGAACCCAGAAATGGACCCACAAACATATGGCCAACTAATCTTTGACAAAGCAGGAAAGAATATCCAGTGGAATAAAGACAGTCTCTTCAGCAAGTGGTGCTGGGAAAACCAGATGGCAACATGCAGAAGAATGAACCTGGACCACTTTCTTACACCATACACAAAAATAAACTCAAAATGGATGAAAGACCTCAATGTAAGACAGGAAGCCATCAAAATCCTCGAGGAGAAAGCAGGCAAAAGCCTCTGTGATCTTGGCTGCAGCAACTTCTTACCCAACACGTCTCCAGAGGCAAGGGAAACAAAAGCAAAAATGAACTATTGGGACCTCATCAAAATAAAAAGCTTCTGCAGAGCAAAGGAAACAATCAGCAAAACTAAAAGGCAACCAAGAGAATGGGAGAAGATATTTGCAAACGACATATCAGATAAAGGGTTAGTATCCAAAATCTATAAAGAACTTACCAAATTCAACACCCAAAAAACAAATAATCCAGTGAAGAAATGGGCAAAAGACATGAATAGACACATCTCCAAAGAAGACATCCAGATGGCCAACCGACACATGAAAAAATGCTCAACATCACTCATCATCAGGGAAATACAAATCAAAACCACACTGAGATATCACCTCACACCTGTCAGAATGGCTAACATTAACAACTCAGGCAACAACAGATGTTGGTGAGGATGCAGAGAAAGAGGATCTGTTTTGCATTGCTGGTGGCAATGCAAGCTGGTGCAGCCACTCTGGATAACAGTATGGAGGTTCCTCAAAAAACTAAAAATAGAACTACCCTACGACCCAGCAATTGCACCACTAGGCATTTATCCACGGGATACAGGTGTGCTGTTTCGAAGGGACATATGCACTCCCATGTTTATAGCAGCACTATCAACAATAACCAAAGTATGGAAAGAGCCCAAATGGCCATCAATGGATGAATGGATAAAGAAGATGTGGTATATATATATACAATGGAGGATTACTCAGCAATCAAAAAGAATGAACTTTTTGCAACTACGTGGATGGAACTAGAGGGCATTATGCTAAGTGAAATTAGTCAGTCAGAGAAAGACAAAAATCATATGACTTCACTCATATGAGGACTT